TGATATTATTCATCACCGAATATATGAACAATCACATATTTAACATTCACATTAGAATTTACTAAATTACTATACATACACACACACACACACATATATATATATATATATATATATATATATATATATATATATCAATTTTATAGTGGAATAGCAATATAAAATTGAATTTATTCATATTATAATTACTACAATATTATACATATTAAATTCGTAGTAGAATAGTAACACAAAGAAGTGTTCTCACGTTCTACATTAAATAGTGTTCTCATTTGAACTTAACCCTTATAAAGAAATTGAAAAGTCATGAGAGTTTCAAATGAATGTGGTGAAAGGAAAAAAGAATGAGTGTTTCAAATGCATGAGATTCAAGAAAAAATGTTTGATATATATATATATATATATATATATATATATATATATATATATATATATATATATATATATATTGTTGTAAATAATTGAATGACAACATTTCCTAATGTCAAATGTGTAAGAGTTATTTTCAACTCTTATGATAAATATGTCAAATATGTGTAAGAACTCATTAATTATGTCTAGTGATTTAACTAGTATAAATAGCACTATCACATATGTAAAAGACACACCAATTTGAATACTTTATATAAGTTATCAAATTCTCTCCAAATCTCCTTTCTTCTTTCTTCTTTCTTAAAGGTTTTTAGTTTAGTTTTACTAATCTTGTTTTAATTACATCAAATTTATAACACGTTATCAGCACGGAAGCTCAAACAAAGGTTATTTAGAAGTGGAAATCTTAATCAAGGTTTGTATTACTTAGTAAAAACATTATTAATTATAAAAACCCTCATCATATTAAAATAATAATAATACTAATGAATTAATAAAACTTATACATTATGGACATTATGGACTACTAACGATTTTTATTTCTTATACTAACATTTCTTTATGTATTCTAATTTTTTTTAATGCATACTAACATTTATATTATGCAACTAACTTTTAATTATGCATACTAACATTTATATTATGCAACTGACTTTTCTTTATGCATACTAACATTTAAATTATATTTATTTATACATGTCAATGTTTATTTTTTTTTACTCTTCATAATTTTATTTTAACATTTACTAATATTTATTAATGTATCTAATTAGTAAAATTATACAAAGTAAAGTTATGTATTAGTTATAAATCTTATTAAATGATTTATAAATATACAAAACGGATATATATATATATATATATATATATATATATATATATATATATATATATATATATATATATATATATATATGCAACGGTTATAAACAGTAAAAACAACGGCTATATTTTTTTTACTATAAATAAACATATTTACCCTGCTTATTTTACCCACAATAAATATTTCTCTCTTCTATCAAACAAATCAATTTCAAGAAATCAAGCTTCATGATGATTCACCCGTTTGTGATAATCATGACTATAATAGTCATGTTACTTTTTATCCCAATCTTTAACATCGAAGATAATATGGAATTTCATCTACTTTTAGGCTTGTATGCAATGTTAGCTTTACCGCTTCTTTTTTGTGTAATATTTATTGAAATAAATGGATTTTAATTTTTATTTTGTTTAAAATTTGTAGTTACATTATGTCCAACATTGCAAAGCTCGAGTTTGCAGCACTTGAAGTTAGCGGGAAAAACTATGTACCATGGATGATAGATGTAAAAATGCATCTTGAGTCCATGGGAATCTCAAATGCTATAAATGAATTTAATAATTGCTTGGCACAAGACAAAGCAAAAGCACAAGTTTTTCTTCGTAAGCATATTGATGAAATGTTAAGATTTGAATACCTTGATGTTACTGATCCAAGTATTCTCTGGAAGATTTTGAAAGAAAGATTTGATCATCAAAAGGAAGTTATACTTCCAAATGCTAGAGATGAATGGAGAACACTGAGGTTTCAAGACTTCAAGAAAGTAAATGAATACAACTCAGCTTTGTTCAGAATATGTTCACAACTCAAATATTGTGGACAAGAAGTTACTGATGAAGATATGTTGGAGAAAACTTACTCCACATGTCATGCAACAAACATTACCTTGATGCAACAATATCGGATGCAAAAGTTCACAAGATATTCTGAACTGAATGCATGTCTGCTCGTTGCAGAGCAAAACAATGAACTCTTGATGAAAAACCATGAATCTCGTCCAATAGGATCAGTAGCACTTCCTGAAGCAAATGCTACAAATATTGATAGTCATCGAAACAATACACGTGGACGAGGGCGTGGTCGTGGTCGAGGACGAGGCCGTGGCTATTTTAATCGAAACCAAAGCCATAATCAGAACCATAATTCTGGTCGTGGACAAGGTAATAATCGTGGTCGTGGCCAGAAAAGGAATAATTACCAACATTCACAAAGAAACAATGTCCACACACAAGATAAGGCCAAAGTGGCAAGGCATGACACTGGGACATCACAAAAATCTGATGGTTCATGTTATAGATGTGGTAGCACAGGCCATTGGTCAAGGACCTATCGCACACCTGCACATCTTTGTCAACTTTATCAAGAGTCCATTAAAGGAAAAGGAAAAGAAGCAAACCTCATTGATAATGTTGAATTCACTCCGCTAAATGTTGTCGATTTCTGCAATGACATGGAAGACATTAACTAAAAAAAAATCTATTATTGTTCTAGTAAAACTGTTTTTCTTTCATTTTGCATGTAATGCCTTTCCTTCAATAAATGAACTTTCTTTTAATAATAATTATGACTATGTTTATTCACTTATTATTCCTTTCATATGTGAAGTTTAATATGAGTCCAATTGGAGCACAACACCAAGAAAAGATTGGAGATCTTTGTATAGCAGATAGTGGTAGTACACATACTATTCTGAAATCAAAGAAATATTTTTCAAAATTAGTACCAACAAAAACAATTATACATACAATATCAGGTCCTGCAGACTTGATAGAGGGAACCGGGAAAGCCCATTTTATATTACCAAATGGTACAAACTTTTGTATAGAAAATGCCTTATTTTCTCCAAAGTCTAATAGAAACTTATTAAGTTTCAATGACATATATTTCAAAGGATATGACACAAAGACGGTGACCATTGAAAATAAGAAATATATGTATATTATAAACAAAAGTCATGTGCTTGAAAAACTACCAACACTTGATTCCGGTCTGCATTATACATATATACATATGATTGAATCAAATATGGTAATCGAAGGAAAACATAGTGATCCTGGGACATTCAGTTTATGGCATTATAGGTTGGGCCACCCAGGATTAACAATGATGCGAAGGATAATTGAGAATACACATGGGCATCCATTGAAGGACCAAAAGTTCCCTCAATCCAATAGCATAAAACCATGTATATCTTGTTCCCTTGGAAAGTTAATTATAAAACACTCTCCAATGAAAGTTGAAAGGGAATCACCTAGATTTCTAGAAAGAATTCAAGGTGATATATGTGGACCGATTCACCCTCCATCTGGACCATTTAGACACTTTATGGTCTTAATAGATGCATCCAGCAAATGGTCTCATCACTACAAGAAAATAGCCCTTTAATGACGCACAAACAATGACACTCGCTGATAGACGACGTGCATTTGTAAGTGCCCTAAAAGATAATGTCAGTTTTGCAAAATTTGAAGAATAGAGGGCACGCATTTGTGCGCGCCCTAAAATTAGTGTCAGAAAAGAAAAAAAAGAAATGCGGAAAGCGCCTTTCATAAAGTGTGCGTCATGTAAATGTGTCACTTTATAATTTTTAAGTGAAACACGCGTTTTAGGCGAGAAATAAAATCGACGAAAATTACCCCCGCCTATTGAATCCCAAAAATTAATCCCCCGCCTCTTATACTTAGCAAGAAAAATACCTAGGTCCTTCATCTTCATCTTCAATATCATCAAACATCTACTTGATCTCCTTCTTATCAGTATCATCAAACATCTCGTTCACCGCCTTCGCCATATCTGTAACAAATCTCTCTCTCTCTCTATCTCGCTCTCTCTCTCTCTCTCTATCTCTCTCTTCCATTAACCACAACAAATGGTTTTTCGAACACAAGTCAGGGAAAACCTAGGTCGATTCAAAGTCATCTTATAAAATCAACATTCCCTTAATTTCAATTTGATGCAGGTAATACACGACCAACTACAAGTCTCTCTCTCTCTCTCTCTCTCTCTCTCTCTCTCTCTCTCTACCCCCTACTGTTCGACAACAACCTAGGCACCCACCACCCTTCGTCTTCTCTCTGGTTCACCACCACCACCAATAAAGCCCCATTATACCACAAGATTAAAGAACGAAACATTGGGTTTGTGTTTTTGAATCCCAGATCCACGAAACATAGTTCTATATGTTACTCCGTTTTGCTGCATCCGGTGTAATCCGATAAACTGTGTAATCCGTTTTGTTGCATCAGGTCTTAAGCTAAAAACGTGTACTTGGAGTACTTGGACTCCTGCTCAGTATGAAGCTCTCCTTAAAGGAGGTGAACAAGTTACGTCTGTTCTTGAAGAGATGGCTAACCTTCTAAGACATGCTTTAACTCCAACTTCAAATTCCTTACTTTATTGAATTTCTCTCGTTGTGGCATTTCATCAGTCATTTGGTGGGCACATGAAAAAAATATACTTATATTTCGATTTTACCCAAATCGTCAAGCATTTGACTTCGTAGAATTGATTTGGAGACCATTTCATTTCATAACCATCCTAATTGAAATTCAACCCAATGTTTATTAATACAACAGTTGGAATATGACCAAATGGATGAAGAATCTGAGGAGTTAGGGTGCTGTTGGCTTCACAAAGCATGATTGGAAAACAAGTTGATCAGATGGAATCAGGCTTCATGGTAGCATTAGATTATATGATTAAGTTAGAGGTTGAAGATCATAAATCGAAGGTTGAAGTTTAGATTTGGGATTAGAAGTCGGAGGTTCATGGTCAGATTGGAAGCATCGGAAATTAGGAAGCAAAAATGGAAGAGGCCCCAGGTTTGAATATCATTCTCTTCTTCTCCATGTATGTACTCTAGGTTTCATTCTCTTACTTTATCATTTTCTTATGTAATATCAGAACTATTGGTGATATATCACACACTTAATTTGTCTACTCTTAAAGCTGATTTGGAGGGTATCGCCGTGAACACGAATCAGTCTTTGTTAGGTCAGTTACTGATGCACGCCCACAAGGTGTTTGACATAATGTCTATGTTAGCTTTTCACCTAGATGAGACTAATTTTGGCTACCTTTCATGTCGATATGCACCAAAAGGACTCAAGAACAAGATAATTGAACTACAAGACTTGGAATTTAGGTTCAGTTTTACTACTAAATCAATGTTTATTTGTGATGGCTGGTTAGCAGCTATTCAACTTGTTAACAAGCTCATCAAAGATGGTGAAATGTATTTTGTTTTAATTAAGGATACCCTTAGTTATTAAGTTTGACATCTTTCTTTGTTGTTGCTGTAGGTTTGACAACCAAAGCAGGAACTCTATTTGTCATGTTATTGAAGCTGGGGTATGGTCACTCTAGGCATTGAAGGAGATGGACAAGGAAATGTCTCTAATTCCACCATGGAATCGATTTTCTAAAAAAGCTCTGGATTAACTAAAAAAACTATGATTATCAATATGAAGAATATTTAAGAGGACATGTTTGCTAATGAGGTGGCCAATGCTAATGCTCAAGTCTCTAGTCCAAAGGCTAAATGAGAATCTAATTAGGTTATAAATTGTTGTGTGTATTATATTTCTATATTATATATTTAGAAATTCTGATTTTTTTCTTAATATGTGTTATTTTAGAACACAAGTTCTTTGGGTATCACATCTGCAGCTTCAGCTGAATCTTGAAAGTTCCATGGTCTGTAATCCAAGTGGTCTAGATACTGAAGAACCACTACCAGTAGCAGTTTTCGACTTGACAACCTGTGAATTGGGTTCTCTTATAACCCACGTACTGAAGAACCACTCCCGATCAGCAGCCTCCCCACCTCCTGCTATTGGTTTACAAAATCCTTACAATCCACGTACTTCTCATGTGATTAGCATGATCACCAGAAAGGACTTGATATTTGAGGTATCTCAATCTAACTTTTGTATATGTAATATATTTATTATGCCATTGAGTTTTTTTATGAGAAATTACAACTTTTTATATGCAGCAGGCCAATAATGATTCAGGTTCTGTGGAGCTCCATTCAACTAGTGTAATGTCCCTATGATGCCTGCCTGGACTGCATTTCATTACCTTATTGCATATACAACTGCGAGATTCTATTCTAACTAAAATCTCTATCACTTTGGTATGTGTGAAGACTGAAGACGCATCATGTATTAGGGAAAAAAAATTGTAACTTTTTGTGTTACCCAAGAAGGAAAAATAAATGAAAGTCCCTATGTGTGGTTGAGGACTTCAATATATGATGCCCTAATAAAAAAACAATGCTATGATTACATGTATTTTTCAATCACATTGCCTTGATAAGAAAATAATTGAAAGTATGATGTTTTGTTATAATACACAATTAAATGAATTAAAAATGCAGTGTTGCTGTTTCATGCATTTAACTTGTGGATAAGTTTTTGCATAAGATGCTATAGTTGATGATATCCATTACGACCAACTTTATCGAGGTGTTTCTCTGTAAGTAAAAAAATAAAATATTTACTATTTATATATCTTTTTTTTTTACAGATACATATTTAATTTTGTTCAAATTTTTGGTGAGATTAGGTTAGCAGAAGCACTTGATATGTAACCACCTATGATGCCAGAGGATGGTCACACGAGGCTCACAACAGGTGATGATGTCTCATCTCCTGGTACTGGAAAAGAGGCTTCTGTTGCTCAAGCTTTGTGGGATGATGAAGATACAAAAAAGTTTTTATGAATGTTTACCTGATCTCAGGTATGCAAGTGTTTACTATAATACATTTCAAAACCACAAATTGTAATAATGAGAAAAAAAACACTTTTTTTTTGTTTCTAGGGCATTTGTTCCTGCTGTGTTATTGGGAGAAGCAGAGCAAAAAGGGAATGATCAGTGATCAAAAGCATCAGATCAACCAAGTGTAAGTTCTTTTAACAAAAAAATAGTAACAAAGTTTTTAATTGACATGAAATAAATATATTATGCAGGACTCAACAACACCTGAGTCTGATCAAGGTCAGATTGCTGCCCAAGATACTGCAGAGACATCTGTAAGTGAGAAAAAGAAAGATGATGAAAAAGATAAAGGAAAAGAAAAAGAAAAAGAAAAAGATGGTGAAATAAAAACTAAAATTGAAAAAGAGAAGCTTTGTGGTCCTGAAGGAACCAACTTCGATGGCTTAATACAGAGGCTTCCTGGCTGTGTGAGTCGTGACTTAATTGACCAATTGACTGTAAGTCCTCTTCCCTCCATAACATAAATTTTCCTTACAGACTCTCTCTACTTCCATTCTTTTAACTGTTTTTTTAATTATAATTACTTTTTTAAAAAAAATCAGGTGGAATTTTGTTATTTAAACTCAAAAGCTTCCCGCAAAAAACTCGTACGCACGTTGTTCAACGTGCCCAGAACATCTCTGGAACTGCTACCCTACTATTCGTGAATGGTTGCCACACTGTCAACTTGTATGAAGGATGTCCCTTCTATGCTCTTGTTGTATTTGGTATTGTGAAAGACAGTTTCTATTTGTTTTGTAGTTTTAACATTTAAAAAATAAGTTTGAATGAAAAGTATTGAATTTTAAGTAAAAGAGAAAAAGTAACCAAACAAAGAAATTACAAATCTAAAATTGATGATATACAAATACAATGCTAACTAAATTAAAAGATGAGAGTGTTAAATCTGTTATTGTTTTGCATGTGTGTTGCTCCTCCTCAGTATGGTTTAGCTGTGGTGACATTTGGTACTGCTGTTCCAGCTGGCCAATTTGTTCCAGGTATAATGATTGGATCTACATATGGACACCTTGTTGGCAGGTTTGTTGTTAGACTCTATGAAAAGCTCAACATTGAAAAAGGAATGTGAGTTCACTTCACACTCATCTTTTATCTTTTATATATATATATATATATATATATATATATATATATATATATATATATATATATATATATATATTTCCAGTTGATAATTTATAATTGACACCTGACAGATATGCTTTGCTTGGAGCTGCCTCGTTTCTAGGAGGTTCAATGAGAATGGCAGTCTCACTTTGTGTTATTATGGTTGAAATTACAAATAATTTAAATCTCTTACCTCTTATCATGCTTTTTCTCCTCATATCAAAAGTAAGTTTTTTCTTTTATTTTGCTTACAAGTTACAATTAGAATTAAATTGATGAGTACAACAAGTTTTAGTTTTGAGTTTTGAGTTTTGACCATTTACCTTCCTTAGGCTGTTGGTGAAAGTTGACAGGTTTGTAACTTTGTCACTTCACTCGTGTGGTGAAATTTGCTGATGTAGCCGCTATTATGGGGACTAACAGTCACAATGGCTTCCCTGTATGTCTGTCATTTTCCATTTCCTCTTCCCTTAAAGAAAAAAAAGTTAGAAGTTACATCTCTACAATAACAACACATGACATTTAGGTTGTAGATTAGTCACGAAGTGGAGAAACAATGGTAATAGGTCTTATCTTGCGCATGTATAATTATAAACAATAAAATCTTAAACCCTAAACAGTTATTTTGTTAGCAGTAGCAGGCAGGCTTAAGAAGTTTATATGTTTGTGATACAATCACTTATTGGTACTTCTACAGTCGAAAGTAGATTTTCAGCATAGCCCATCAAGTAGGTAGATAAGTACTTCATTGGACATTCTAATCTTTTAGGCTGAGAGGGCATTATTTCATTTATAAGACTTTTGCATAGATAGACAGTTAATATGAACCTGATGGATGTCTGATTTGCAATTTGCAGGCACAGTCTTAGCGACTTTGTGAAGCCTGTTTCTAGTAAAGGACTATCCATATCTGATATCCATCTAACTCTAGATGACGAGACTCAAGCAAAAGTAAACACATAGAGAGTTGTTGGCACATAGTAAGCTAAATGATGCAATTGTATATAAATGAGTTCATTTTTTTATAACATTTACTCACTTTTGGAATAATTATTTGTATGACATATTAGTGAAATGAATTATCTTTGTTATTTATGGTATTTTATTTTGTATTGTGAGAATTTTAATGTATTATTTAATTTAAAAATTAGTAAATCTATAAATAATACTTTTTTTAAACATTTAAAATTATGATACGCAAAAATGTGTGTCATCTTCATTTATGACATGGCCTTTCTTGACAGGGGCTTTCTTGATACGCATTGCGTGTCATTAACATGCGCGTCGTAAGGTTACGACACGCCAATGTGTGTCGTCTTCCTTTATGACAGGGCCTTCCTTGATACGCATTGGGTGTCGTAAACGCGCGTCGTAATTGCGCGTCGTAAATGAGCGTCGTAAATGTGCGTCGTCTATAGACGACACGCAAAAGCGCATCGTCTCTCTTTATGACAGGGCCTTCCTTGACCCGCATTTGCGCGTCGTCTGAGCCTTTTATGACGCGCAATGAGCGTCGTAAAAGGCTGTTTTTCTAGTAGTGCATGTTTGCCTATTATCAACTCGTAATATGGCATTTGCAAAGCTTCTTGCCCAAATTATTAAATTAAGGGCACATTTCCCTGATTATACTATCAAAAGAGTGAGACTTGATAATGTTGGTGAATTTACTTCACAAGCATTTAATGACTATTGTATGTCTGTCGGAATTATTGTTGAGCATCCAGTTGCTCATGTACACACATAAAATGGTTTAGCTGAATCACTGATTAAACGTCTCCAGCTAATAGCTAGACCATTGATAATGAGGACCAAACTTCCTGTGTCTGTTTGGGGCCATGCAATCTTACATGCTGGATCATTGATACGCATAAGACCAAGTTCTTATCATGTATATTCTCCACTACAACTTGCTTTCGGTCAAGAACCAAATATATCCCATTTGAGAATTTTTGGGTGTGCAGTATATGTCCCTATTGCACCACCTCAACGGACAAAAATGGGTCCTCAAAGAAGGTTGGGAATATAGGTTGGTTATGAGTCAGTCTCTATTATAAGATATCTTGAACCATTAACAGGTGATGTTTTCACAGCACGCCTAGCAGATTGTCAATTTGATGAGGCAAATTTCCCATCATTAGGTGGAGAAAAGAAGATCATGGAAAAGGATGTGTCATGGCATGAGCCTTCTTTATCACATCTTGACCCTCGCACAAGGCAATGTGATATAGAAGTTCAAAAGATAATGCATTTCCAAGAAATGGCAAATCAATTACCTGATGCATTTACTGACACAAAAAGGGTGACTAAATCATATATACCCGCTGTCAATGTTCCATCTCGAATTGACATTCCACATGGACAATTTGATGATAAAGTCACTCAAGAATCTAAAATACGCCTGAAGCGTGGAAGGCCATTTGGTTCTAAGGATAAGAACCCACGAAAAAGAAGAGGAGCAGAAAATGCACTAGATCATGAGGAAAGTGTTCCTGGAGAAACACAAATTATTCAAATTCCCCCAGGAAAAGAGGATGATGCACAAAATTATGGTCAGCCAAATAGAATATGTAACCAAAATGAAACTGACAGTATAAATGCAATATTTTCTTATTCAGTTGCATGTGATATTATGAATGATGATCCTGAACCACAATCTGTCATTGAATGTCAAAGAAGAAATGATTGGGCTAAATGGAAGGAAGCTATGCAAGTTGAGTTAAATTCTCTTAACAAGAGAAAGGTTTTTGGGAACATTATCCTCACACCTGAAGTTGTGAAACCATTAGGATATAGATGGATCTTCGTACGAAAAAGAAATGAGAAAGACGAAATTGTAAGATACAAGGCCAGGCTTGTTGCTCAAGGTTTCTCTCAAAGACCTGGAATTGATTATGAAGAAACTTATTCACCAGTAATGGATGCAACCACTTTCAGATATTTAATCAGCTTGGCAGTATCTAAAAATTTAGAGATGCGTCTTATGGATGTTGTTACAGCTTACCTGTATCGATCACTTGATAGTGATATTATATGAAAATCCCTGAAGGATTTAAAATGCCTGAAGCATTAAGTACAAAACCCAAAGAAATGTATTCTATAAAATTACAAAGATCTTTGTATGGTTTAAAGCAATCTGGGCGCATGTGGTACAATCGTTTAAGCGATTATTTGACAAGTAAAGGTTATAAAAATAACACTATTTGTCCATGTGTATTTATTAAGAAAACAACATCTGGATATGTGATCATAGCAGTCTATGTTGATGATCTGAACATCATTGGAACGAATAAAGAAATCCTTGAAGTGATTGAACTTTTAAAGAAAGAATTTGAAATGAAAGATCTTGGAAAAACCAAATATTGTCTTGGTTTACAGATTGAGCATATGCCTAACGGAATACTTGTGCATCAATCAAATTACACAGAAAGAGTCTTGAAACGTTTCAATATGGACAATGCAAATCCTTTAAGCACTCCAATGGTTGTTAGATCATTAAATATTGACAAGGATCCATTTCGTCCATGCGAAGAAAATGAAGAAGTCCTTGGTTCAGAAGTGCCATATCTAAATGCAATTGGAGCTCTTATGTATCTTACCAATTGTACTAGACCTGACATTTCTTTCGCAGTAAACTTGCTAGCAAGATTTAGTTCAGCCCCAACAAAAAGACATTGGAATGGAATCAAACATATTTTTCGATACCTTCGAGGAACTAGTGATTTAGGGTTATTTTACCCTAACGATTCAAAACAAGGTTTGATTGGTTATGCAGATGCAGGTTATTTGTCCGATCCTCATAAAGCTAGATCTCAAACTGGATACGTATTCATGAATGGAGGTACTGCAATTTCCTGGCGTTCTCAAAAGCAAACACTTGTTGCCACATCCTCAAATCATGCTGAAGTAATTGCACTAAATGAAGCTAGTAGAGAATGTACATGGTTAAGATCAATGACACAACTAGTTTTAACTTCATGTGGACTTGAAAAGGATATATGTCCAACTTTAATATATGAAGATAATTCAGCATGTGTCGCTCAAATGAAAGAAGGATATATCAAGAGCGACAGGACAAAACATATACCTCCAAAGTTTTTTTAGTACACTCAAGAGCTTATAAAGAACCATCAAGTTGAAATCAAATATGTTCAATCCAGTAACAATGCAGCAGACCTTTTTACGAAGGCACTTCCTACTGCAATATTCAGGAAACATGTCCATGGCATCGGAATGCGACATGTGCATAGAATATAATGTGACAGATGTCTAAATAAGGGGGAGTCAACTATACACTACACTCTTTTTCCCTTCGCTAATGTTTTTTCCCACTGGGTTTTCTTTAGCAAGGTTTTTAATGAGGCAGTACTTCAAGGTTGAACTCTAATTTGAAATGATGTCATCCAAGGGGGAGTGTTGTAAATAATTGAGTGACAACATTTCCTAATGTCAAATGTGTAAGAGTTATTTTCAACTCTTATGATAAATATGTCAAATATGTGTAAGAACTCATTAATTATGTCTAGTGATTTAACTAGTATAAATAGCACTATCACATATGTAAAAGACACACCAATTTGAATACTTTATATAAGTTATCAAATTCTCTCTAAATCTCCTTTCTTCTTTCTTCTTTCTTAAAGGTTTTTAGTTTAGTTTTACTAATCTTGTTTTAATTACATCAAATTTATTATATATATATATATATATATATATATATATATATATATATATATATATATATATGTGTGTGTGTCCTAGGAATAGGAATAGTAGGACCAACCCGAGCATTTACTATTTATATATTATTCTTATATAATAAAATATGGTCAGTATAAAACATAATAATATGCTTGGAAAATAAAGTCAAGAGACACTTTCCATACCTAAGGAGTAGCACGAGGAATTAAATTCGGAAAAAAAAAATTATCATTGCTTTCATATTTGACTTTACCCAACACGCTCTGGAAACCAACGTGTGAACATACACTAGAAGCTATCGGCTTCTATTAATTATTTCTTCAAAAGTTATCAAAACAAATGTCATTTTATTTATCTCAGCCACAATTGTTGACTTGTTGGCAAAATAAAGTGGATAGATAACATATTAAACCAGATAAGTAAAAACTAATTACTTTTTATGGATGTGTCTTGAACCCAAATATTTCGTATCCAATTGATTTATTTAATAATCACTGTTATAATTGTGATTAAAAGTTGTATTTTTTTTTTTTAAAACGGTAAATCTAACCTACTCCTAAACTACACCTTAAATCCATCTATGTCCACGACGGGACTTGAACCCTCAACCTCAAGTAGGGAGGGCAACACCGGATACCGTTTACGATTGAGTAGAACAGTTTACTTTGGTTTCTTTTGTTGCTCTTTTTTACTCATCTATATGACCTAGGGGTAGCAATCATCGATCCAACCCATAACCCGATACTGACCATCACGAAAATATACGTGGTTGGGTTGAGATTTTAGATCCGTCAACCCGTTTATTTTATGGGTTGGGTTACCTGTTTGGGTTTGCGGGTAAACCCGTCAACCCAATTATATATATATATATATATATATATATATATATATATATATATATATATATATATATATATATATATATATATATATATATATATATATATATATATATATATATAATGTTTAAAAAATATATTTAATTATTTATTAGTTTTTGAATATTTGATTATCGTTTAATTGTTTTCCGATTCCAAAACTGCAAAACATCTTCAAGTCGACTTAGTGTGCCATAGCTCCTAAGAAGCCCCTAATCAAAAAGAAATCTAGTCTTCAGTCTCCAAACTCACAACTCCGTGTCTCCCGTCTTCGTAGATTGAGGTATCGAGTCATCGACTGTCGCAGTGTCACACAGACAACACTCATCTTCTCATCATCCGGCTATCGCACACCACTCGTCCTCGTCACTCTTGCTTATGACTTTA